AGCAAGGAAGGAATAATCAGGAGACCAGACAAGTTGGTGATATCAGTGGACAAGAGACTGGGGGGGGGGGATTTCATTATTTGGCAACATAGTTCATGCAGTGCCTATATTTTAATTACAGATTTTCAAGAGAACTTTCTGGATGTATCTTTAGTAGTAGCATCAGATAGACTGCAGAAATGTTCTTTTAATAGTTTATTGGAATTATTCTTACAAACATCTGCCCTCTGCTTATCACTAGTGCAAATGTTTAAGTTACCTTTGTCTATGAAAGAAAATATCCTAGTGATCTTTCAAATAAACGTCTGCAATAGGGTTGAACTACTGGTTTATGGAGAGGAGGGAATAGGTTAATGGAGATCCTTAGGCTAAGTAGTAATTCAAAAGGTTCCTGAGTGTCCATTGTCCTACAATATTTTCCTTTCCCACACACCATGTTTTTTGAGATGGAATTCCCACATGTTTTATGAAATGGTGATGAAAATTGAAGTAAATGTCAAAATTATATCCAGCTGTTGGAAACACAGTATAGCATATGGCAGCTGCCAATCATACTCTGGAACTGCCACATTCAGGGCAACACTTGCTGAAAGGACACACAGGCATGAATATTTGCCACATACCTGCACTCTTGGGGATAATTTCTGTATATCCCTGTATGAATTTAAAAAGCAGTTTGAAGGTTTGTTCAGTGGAACTGCTGAAAGATTAAGTCCAATGTACATGCAAATTGTACTAGTTTGCTTATATGGATTGCAACAGTGGTATATACCATCTCCATAAGAGCTCTTCTATTTATACAGTAACAGTTAAAGAACTTTAAATGAACTGCCTTTGTCTTTGTAACTTCACAAAGTAAAACCGTCTGATTTTAAAGGTCTTCTCTTCTGTATCTTACCATTGTGGCCTTGGAATCAGCTTTAACAGTTCTGTGTTGAACACATGGAATACAAAGAAGACGTCACTATTCTGCTTGTATCAGGAAAGGATAATTAACTTTTAGAGCAGCCTGCCCTTGGACTCTCCATCCCTCTTCAGTGGTTAGCTGTTATAGACAGAGGGGAAAGTTTCAGGCAGCATCCATATCTTTACGGATTGGATCTTGTAATGAACTATTGTTCTTTTCAGTCAAGTTGACTGTTAACCTCTTAACACTTTCCTGGTGCTGAAATGGTCAGCTTCTTTGGTTCCAGGAGAAGAAAATGTTTGTCCATATAATCTCATTTTTTTTTAAAAAGGACATCATTTTGTAATAGAAAACTGACAAGGGTTATAGAGATTTGCAGCATTGTAGCTGTGATCCTCTGCCTGTTACTTTGTTAGCATTAACTATTTCCATTGAGAATTATTTGTTTCACTACTTGTAACTAAGTGTGCAACTGGTTCCTAATGTAATGGCAGAAGTTAAGTTGGGAAGTATCAACAATTGCAGGCATGATCTCCCCAATATGTTTTTAAGATACAAAGAATTTACTCTGTGGCATAATTTCCTATGCCTAAAGCATTCAAGATAGATGTACCAGCAATGAAGTCACTTATCACTTACATGTTACTTTCTGTATATAAAAAAGTGGTTTTAAAAAAGTACTTTGGCAGTAATTTTTCAACTCCACAAGTTTATTATCAAGGAAACTGGTTTTCAAGTGCTTCAGAGAAATACAACCCTTTATGACAGCCTGAAGATCTATCCTGACAACCGAGAGAATGTTTACTTCACCAAAGAAAGAGATATTAATGGGTACAAAAATTCCCCAAGGTACAAAAACACTAAAAATTAATTTTAGATATTTCCCCCTTTACAATTCATGGAAGTTTAAAACATAATTATTATAGTTTCAACTTTTAAAAAATTATAGCTTTGTAAAGGGACTATACTGGTGTTTATGCAAAAGGAGAGGGCTGAATCTATGCAAAAGAAACATTCTGTCTCATGTCAAAGTGTGTTTTCAAGCTTTGAATAGTTCAGTACTGTGAAACACAATGGCCTCTGACACTGCAAACAAAAGAATTTGTGGGTGGAACACTTTTTGACTTGTGGTAGAAATATATCCCAAGGCAATATGTGTAAGGTTTTCCCAAGGATTGTTTGAGGGTTATGCAGCTTGTGGCTGAGTTGCTTTTATATCTGTGGAGAGTTGTAGTGTTTTTTTTTTAAGGTAAAGCAGAGGCTTCTGCCTTTGTTTTCTTCAAAGAGCAGCATATCTGTAGCAGCATGTTTATACTGGGTAACTGAAAATGACTTTAAATGTGGAACCATTAAGTGAAGACTATAGCGTATCCAAGTACTTTGAACAGGAAAGCTGAAATTAGCCTCTGGGCTTTATACTGCTTCTAATAATACTTAGTGCTCTGGTTTCCCAAAGTGCACCACAGCTGTTATCACATTGCACTGTAGCGACGCAGGAACCAGCATAGGAGTTCTACCTATCACAGTTGGAGGGGGGAAGAAATCTTCTCATTCCAACTCTTGATCCCAATTCATCCATTGCATGTTGCTCCAACATGCTTTCCATACCCTCACAGGGAGCTTCTGTGGACCAACAGAGACAGCAGATCCTCTTAGGTGGTGGTAGCCAAAAGACTTCAGATGCACCCCTACTGCAGTGTTATTGCAATGTTATGCCAACAGTGAAAAGACTAAATTTCTAAATCTGCCCATTTCCCCAACTACATCAGAATAACTTTCCACCTTTAGCACATTCATTGACCAGCTGAGATTAGATAAAATTTATTGCATGTCCATAATACTTCTTCTCCTGGGTTTCATTTGAGGATCAGGCTGTTGGGACTGTGGTTCATTTTAGCAGACGCACACACAGACATCTGAAGAATTTCACAAGTCTGTCATTGACTTTTTAGTATGTTTAAGGTTTTTGTTTGAATCATTACCCCACAACCAAAATGTTAATTTATTAATCTAATTTTTGGCCTCCCAAGTTTGGAAAACTTGTTCACTGTGTGAGGTTTTTGTTTATTTTAGCTTCTTACATGGTTTTTCCCTTCCTGAAACTTATGAAACCACTTCTCTTCAAGAAAAAAATGATTGTGTATTAGGTTTTGGGTATAATTTTTTTAACCCTCAGCCTACTTCTGGTTTTAATAATTGAAAACTACTGTTCAATATTTACATAAATCCATCTCTCTTTTGCTTGCTTTCTGTAACCTTTCCCCTCTTGAGAATTTCAGGAATTCTCTGACTTTCCTCTGGGGAATCGGAGCTTGTTTTATCTAAGACCTGGAGCTTGATGGTTAGTAATTTGGGGAGAAGGCAGTAACAACTGTGTTTAAATACTTTTTTTATCATTGTTGTTTACCTTCATATAGAGTTTGCCATTTTCTGCTTGCTTAAAACAGGCATGTCTTTGGAAAAAATATGTCTTGCTTTTTAACATTCAACTTTTTAACTGGCAGGCTGTAAATCTCTACATACAAAATTGAAGGCCTCTTTCAATCTAATGGGGGGGGGAACAGATACCCTAAAGGCCCATGATTTCAAATGCATTTCCAAGAGTCTACTTTTCTGCTTTCCCCCCTCCTCCTAATGAAGACGTGTCACAACCGGAGGCTTTATACTCATTTTTAAATGACCCTAGTCCAAGCCTCCAACATTCCAAATCTTTTACTCCACAGCTGTGAACATCAGCCAATCCAGCATACTCAGTCTGACTCTTGGCTTATGTTAACATAATCTTTTTCTGCCTCCTTTCCTCTCCTTTGTGCAAGCACAGTAAGAAATGTTTTACATCAGGCGCCTTCCTAATTATACTGTGTGTGTATGTGGGGGGGTTGCACAGTAAAAGAGGTTTTTTGTTTTTTTAAAAAATCCCAATATTTGTACCTAATTAGTTAGATTTATCTATGTATTACAACTTCCCTAATCACTCTGGGATTATTATTTTTTTATCCTCAGGTTATGCATGATTTTTGGGATAGGATCCCTCTTAAACCTTCTTGTGGTATACAACATTATGCTTGGGAAAAGATCATATTCATGTTATGTGCAGTGTACAAAAGGAGACTGCAGGAGGTGATCAGGTAGTAGTCAATTTAGCTAAGGGAAATAGCTGGTAACCAGCTGATAGAGATCAGGTTGTGGGGGTGGGGGTGTATATGAGCACATAATTGTGTCTGACTGGGAAGGAGAGAGCACTGAGGTAACAACAGGCGAAAACTCTGGTGGAGAAGATAAACCATGTAATAGAGATCAATGTGAAAGGGAACACACTTGTATTGGTGACTGCTGAAAGGTTCGGCCCCAGTATAAAGATACATGCTGAGGGTCCCTTACCAGGATTTTTTAGCCTCTGGGCATCTCTCAAGTTGTGGTGGGCCCAAGACATGAAAGAAGTCACACCTTGGACTTAATCTTTTACACTGAACTTTTGAGGAAAGGTCTGATTTCGAAGCTGGATGCTCAGCCTGTACCACAGTCTGACCACTGTATACTCAAGACAAGGATGAATGAATGTAGCTTTTGTACAGTTGATTCTGTTGAGCATAGGATCGCTACTATGTTATACCAACATTAGCCATAGTGTAGCAGTCACAGGGAGTTGGATCTTACCAGCTTTTCTGATGGAGAAAAGGAAAGGAAGGTTTTCTTTTGACCAGCAAAACAAAACTATGTTAGTGACTGTGGTACCCATATGAACAAAAGCCTCGTGGAAAATGCAGTGAAGACTGGAATGAACAAGATCAATTGGGAAAGCTGGTAGGATACAACCTGTAAAGTATTAGGGTTATACTGAATATTTTTTTCCTTATTATTAAGGTAATTTAAGCACAAATGGTAGTACAAAGGATTCTGCTTAATGACATCAGGCGCTACCTTAGAATTTGCAAAAATCTGAGCATTCATTTTTTCATAGTAAAGATCTTGAATTTCAGTTCCTTATCATTCTATAAATTGAGTCTGTCAGTTATCCTGATATCTTCCCCCCCCTTTTTTTCTTTTTAAATGTGGGATTTATCACCCTCATTGTGTTTTTTTCCCCATCTAGGCTACTTCGAAGATGGTTCGGCTTACATTGAGACCTGGAGCTCTGATGTCACAATGAGGACTCACACACGGGGGGCTCCTAGTGTGTTTTTCATACATGTGATTTGCCTCACACTGGTCTACAGCACTGACGACATCCTAAGCACTATGGTTCCTTTTGTCAACGCCAACTATGATAGCTACCCTATGCTCTACTTTTCCAGGGGAGAGATTCAGGATTTACGATTCAAGGCAGCCAGTACACATCAACACATTTCAGCTCGATTGACTGAGGCGGTACAGACCATGCTGTCAAATCCCTTTGAGTATCTTCCTCCCTGGGACCCCAAGGACTTCAGTGCTCGGTGGAATGAAATTTATGGCAACAACCTGGGTGCCCTGGCAATGTTCTGTATACTGTATCCAGAGAACATGGAAGCCATCAATATGGCCAAAGACTACATGGAAAGAATGGCGGCTCAGCCTAGTTGGTAGATTTTTGTCTTTGTTTTTACTGCCAAAAATATGTTTTGTTTTAAATGGCTGATTTTTATGAAGAACAAGCAAGTAAAGGGGTAGGAAGTTCTGCCTTCCATTGTTAATTTTGTTTTTAAAAAGCAGGTATTTTTCAAAGGTGCCCATGACAGACACTTAGGGCACGATCACATGCACAATTATCTGCGTCATAGGCGCGAATGCCGGGCAGATTTAAAGGGTGCGATCAGACACAAACATCTGGGAAGCGCCCCGCACCCATCGGCAACCCATTTTGCTCCACCGCAGAAGTGGAGTAAAAAGACACCAGGGAAAGTCCAGTAGCAAATGGGTTGCTATGGGCCACGGATGGACTTTCCCCTGTCTGATCGCTCCAGCGGCTCTCATGGTGTCAGGATGGTCTGTTCAGGCCATCCCGACTCTGTGCCATTGCCCCCCCCCCCAGTATGCACATCATCACACACTCCATAGGGAGCCCTCAGTGCTGAGATACAATTCATCGATTACCATGTAAGCAAATCAGAAACAAACGGGGGGGGGGAACCTGACTCACCCGCGTTTGCATCTGATCACGCATTGGCGGGCTGCCCCCATAGCTTCAAATTCCTCTGGAGGGAATAGCCTCCCCCCCCCAGTTTATCTTGTGCGTGTGACCGCACCCTTATAGTGTTTTAGAAATCACCAGTATGTCTTTCCATCAGTTAATACTTTAAGACATTTACAGATAGTTCTAGCTACAGGAATTGGAGGGGAAGCATTTCCAGCCTTTGATATCAAGATTTGCATGGTACTGTATCTTGCACTACTTCCCTCTGCATTGCTGTTACTTTTGTTGTGGGGAGTATTACAGAAAATGATGCCTTTCCTTTGTTGTTTGGGAAATTCCTACGTATTTAGTTGCTATGACACATAACTGAATGAGGAGGTATCCCACAAAAGCATAGAAAGTATTGCCAGAAATGTTTCTTGCTAGTGAGGTGCTTACATGTTGTACATGGTAGCAACCAAATAGGAACACTGCAGAATAATCTGAATGAGTTTTGGGACAATTTATTCCATTGCATTAAATAATGAACTATGTTTCCACAGCTAAAATCAATGCCTTCTTTTCTTCTGTTTTAAGGCCAGAAAGTACTGCTTCTTGTCAGTTTAAACATATTTACTATCCTGTTAAACTCAGTGGGCTTACTTCTGTGTAAATATGCCTTAGGATTAGCTTGTTAAAGGACTGAACAGTGCCATACTAAGCAGGTCTACGTAGGCCCCGGCCACATGGGGGGAAATGATGCAGCCAAAGTGCGGCTTTTTAGAGACGCACCAACAGAGACGCGGCAGTGGGATCAGACAGATCCCCTGAGCCGCCGCACAGTTGCTTCCCAGCACGATCAGATGCCGGGGGGAAGCCACGGAAGGGAGAGCGAGGCAGCCGGCTGCGCATGTGTGTGCATGTGCAGTTTTGCTGGGAGCCTCAAATGCTCCTGAAGATGGGCGCGCCAGCTTGCTGCGGCGTTTCAGGTAGGTACTGCTCTTTTGTAGGTTCTTTTTTGCTGCGCGTTATTGGCCTTCAGGGACGGATCGGGGATGGGTGGGCGCCGCTTCCCAGATGTTGCGGTGTGATCGCGCCCGTTTGCTGCACCCCCAATTCTTTTTAAATGTGGGGCTAGACCTCCCGTGTGACCAGGGCCTTAGAATCTTACTCAGGTCTATTCAAAGAGGCATACTCTCAGGAAAGTATTCTTAGGATTACACTATAACTCTGGTTGGGTCATGCCCATTATTTGAATGCTTCATTTATGTTAAGTCTCTTTAGCAATAGTTTATAAATCCTTTTTAACAGTTTGAAATGTATCAGTGGTATGGCTGATTTTTTTAATTAACAAAAAACCCTAGATTTATATTGAGCAGTTAGGGATTTCTGAGTGGTGAGGTTTTTGTTGTTGTTGTTGGCTTTACATGAAATCTGAAATTTTTGTCCTCGTGAAAGATATTGATGTATTTATTCGGCTTTATTATGTCTGTCAATATTTAGTTGTCTTGTTCTAGGCCTTAACCTTTGAACACACTTTTAAAAACCTTCATTTGTTGTGATAAGGAAATGATATTAGTCTCAGCTTGCAGTTGTAAATGCAAGACATGTGTTAACAGTCCATAGTGTCATTTTTGTTTTCCCAGTTAAACAGGGTGAAATGGTTGATATCCCTTTAAAACATCTCATGTCATTTGAATGTCAGTTTGATATACCATTGTCACTCATGTCCTAGAATGATTTGCAGTTGAATGAGCATTATCATGTTCATATTCTGGGGTGATTCTATGGTAATGCATATTTCAGTTAGAAGTAAAACAATTTGCATTTTCCATTTACGTTGTTTTTGTTTGAGCCATATAAAATTAAAGGGATTCTATAGGAACTTTATTTAAAAGTATTAATTTACTGTACCATTTATGAGGCAATTCAGGTTGTGTACAACCACTCTGCTCAGCTTAGTACAGATCCTCCAGAGGAAGAGTGTTTTCCACAGGAGGAAGGCTATTGGGATTTGGGATGCAGAAACATACCTTGGGATAGAGGAAAGCAGGCTGTACTCTTAGCTGAATGGAATAGTAGGATGCATTCTATTAATTTAAGAATCAGTAACTTCGATAACATTACAACTTTTCACATTTCAGACAAAAAGTGAGATTTCTGCTTTGTTATATGTATGAGGATAATCTTTTTTTTTAAATCATGAAAGTCCTATCCAGTGTTCCCTCTAAGCTGAGTTACTGTGAGCTCATAGTTTTTTAGCCTCCAGCTCACACACTTTTATCTTAGCTCAGGAAGGATGGCTCCAGAGCAAATTAATTTATGCAGTAGCCAAATCACTTGCTCACAACTTTAATGCCAGTAGTTCACAAAGTAGAATTTTTGCTCAAAAGACTCCACAGCTGAGAGACAGCATTCGTCCTAACAAACACATTACATGGCCAATTATTTAACATTTCCACATATAAGGAGAGAACCCATCTTAACTCCTTTTACTGATGCTGATATAGTATTTGTATTAGATAATTTAAGGCCCCGGTCACACGGGCAGGAAACTGCAGAGGAGAAGCGTGGCTGTTTGCCCTGGGGCAAACTACTGCGCAGTTACGTGATCAGACCTCGTGTGGAGGTCCTGTGGAGGTACCATGGAGGTTCCATGGCAAGGGAGAGGTGCCGATCACAGGACAAGCCAGTGCGCAACGAAGAAGCGCGCACCGCGGCAAACTGTTTTTTATTTTTGTGTACATGACAAATGCGCATGCTCCGTTGGGTGCGCATGCGCATCCACAGAGACTTGGACAAAAAAAGCACACCTTATTTGCAAGGGGACATGGGCGGGCGCCGGATGCCACCGGAAACGCGATCAGACGCCCGCCCTTGCCACACAGTTTCGGCTGGAAGCCTCGGTTGAGCCACGGGAGTGCTACGCTTCCCAGATGTGCTGGTGAGATCACGCCCGGAAACTCCGGCTGTTTTCCGTCTCACTTGTGTGGCTTCTGTTACGTGTGACCGCAGCCTAAAGGTGGTTTCCATATCACACTGGCTGAATGAGGGTATTCTAATATTGTCCAGAAAACTGGGGTTTTCTGGGGTAAAATTTTAAAAATAAAATACTTCTGAAACATTGAAGTAATTATAGTTTCATTAAATGACCCCTTCTGTATTGATACAGATAAAAATTGTGTGATACTCTTCGCTTCATTTGGCTTAATTCTTTTTAATTCCTACCTTGACCATGATATTGTGCTAGAAAAAGAAACTACACCCCTGCATGCATCAGCTAATCAGTAAGCTAGTCAAAGTGACTGTGCTGACTTCAAATCACTGGATGTACCCAGATATCCAAGTCCTTAAACAACTGTGGCAAGAATGGTCTGAGGAAATTGTGAGAATGGGGTGGTGAATAAGGGTGGAGTGAAAAATAAATTAGCTTATGGTAGTGATCAAAGTTTGGTTTGGAGTTTTGTAGATAATACTTGACTACCTGCCTTCTGATTATAACCTTTCCCATGTTTGCTGAATTTATCTGTAACAAAATCATCCCTTGGCTCAAGAGCCTCCTATCAGGTCCCACTATTGTTAAATGTAAAAGTAATCTTTGGCCCCTGCCACATGGCAGAAAAAAACACGGCCAGAAGTGCGGCTATTCAGAGCTGCACCAAAAGAGACACGCGGCGGCGGGATCACACAGATCCCCTGAGCCGCCGCACTCTTGCTCCCCAGCACGATCAGATGCCAGGGAGGAAGGCACCGACGGGGGACCGAGGCAGCCGCCTGCGCATGTGTGCGCATGCGCAGTTTGGCCAGGAGCCTTGGATGCACCAGCAGAAGGATGCGCCGGCAATCCCACAGCCGCGCTTGCCGCGGCCTTTTTGGTAAGTCCACCTCTGTAGGTGGTTTGTTTTCATTGTGGATTTTCAGCCTGAAGGGCCGGATCGGGGACGGGTGTACGCCACGTCCCAGATGTTGCAGTGGGATCGCGCCCCTTTGCTGCGCCCCCGATCCCGTCCCTCTTCCGTCCCTAAACCTCCCGTGTGACCGGGGCCTTTGTTTTCTTTTACTTTGTCTGAATTGAACTGTGTATGGTAAAGAATCTCCTTAGTTTAAATAATGTTCTGTTTGCTGAACTTGGAGTGTAGCTTGAAATCCTATCTTGTGCTTTCATATCTTACATTTGAAATTGATTTTGCAGTTGTTGAGCATGGTTTATACTTTCACACTAAGTGCCTTGCTGGCTGCCTCTTTTGAAACAGTGGTGTATGGATTTCAGAGAAAATGTAGTAGATTTCATTGTCTGGTTGTCAACTAATAGTGCAATCCTAAGCAGAGTTAGCAGTGCAGTCCTAAACAGTGGACTTGAGTGGACAGAAGGGTGTAATTCTGTTGAGGACATTGAACTGTTAATCAGCTGAATTGCCCTGAATTGTATATGACCAAGGCATGTTGTTTTTTATTATTATTGCTTCATTA